AGAGAGAGAGAGAGAGAGATTTTATTTAGTTATTTATACTGGCTCTGATACCATGTTGAAAAAAACGTTATGCAGTGAATGATGAAGTAGATGATTTTGTGTATTGAATGTCAAGATGTTCATATACAAGATACTAGAAACTCAAGTACAACAGGCCCATAATTAGCTTTATAATTATTATCGAAAAAAGTTATTTGCTCTGTGTAATTGTTTCATATTTGAATTTGTGAATAATTTTTGGTTGTAGTGTTTAATGATACTTAGGTATTGTTTTATTTTGTTTTTTTTTTTTCCCCATTTGATAGCCCAATAGATGTTATATATTTATTTTTATATTTTTCTGTTGTTGTTTTAAATTGTAAGTTTGGGGAAAAAAGAAGTAAATGTTTTGTTTGCACTAATATTTGTACTCAGTAAGTAATACCAAAATATTTAGCATTAAAGTATTTAGTTACAGTTAATATGAGATTTAATATAATTTTTTGTTTAAGTGAAATTGTATTCAAAAAGAAAAATTTGCATGAAAAAATAGTTTGCACTGAAATTTGTAGAAAAAATAAGTCATTCCATAACGAATGACATAAAGTTCTATAGAACGTTATGTGCACAACACAATTTGTACTTAGTAATGAATATAAAATTCTTTAATTTTCAGTTAATACAATATTTAACACAAGTCTTTGTGTAACTGAATTTTAAGTGTTAAAAAAAAAAAGAATTTTGCAAACGAAAAATAAGAACGAAAAGGGAAAACGGAGTGCTGATATTTGCTGAAAGTCTGTATAAAGTTGAAATTGTTGAAGGGCATGGGAAAGTGTTGATGCAAAATCGGCGTGAGAATTTGTCAAGGTTCAATGTGTACATTCACTTTGTGTCCTTATTTTTGTGTTTGTTTTGTGGTGACGATAGCATGATTTGTCATTTTGATGTCGTTGGGAACAATTATTTTGTAATCCGACATTATTTGATCGTCTATGTGAACTTTTTATTTGTGTTTTTTAATATTTTTTTATTTTGTTTCTTATCTTTTGTAATGTCAGTTGTATTTTAAAGATAGGGATTGTTTGCCTCAACTCATGAGTCGATGGTATAATGTTTGTTATAAATTTTGTCCTTCATATAAGAGGAGTAGGATTAGACATATATGTATACAATTTTAATTATATACAATTTTATTTAGATTTTCAATTATTTATTAAAGTAGGCATGTATAATATAAGCATGTCTGTTGAATACAAATAATGACGACATTAAATTCTAGCAACTACTAACCTAGCAACTATAGAGAACTAATATAGCAACTACAAATAACTAACCGAGAAACTACATAGAACTAACCTAGCAACTACAGAGAACTAACCTAGTTGGAATGTTAGTTGTCAACGGTCAACGCCGGAAGTCAACGTTCAACGTCATAAGTCAACGATCAATGTCGAAAGTCAACGGGTCAAAATAATATTTAAATAATTAAAATAATAAAAAGAAAAGAGTAAATCTTGGCCACATAATGTACCAAATCATGTGGCTAAAAATGAGTCTCACGCTCTCACTTT